TTGCAAGCAGTTTCTGGTACATCGTCCCACTCCTGTGGAGAAGACCCGGCTTGATGAGAGACGTTCGCTTGGAGTTAACGGGACAGTGACCGTATCTCCCTTCGAAGCTGTCGGGTATTGTTGTTTGTCATAGAAGACGATATCTGAACAAACTTATATATAAAACGCAAAGCGGGTAAATGGGTTTCATCGCTCTCTGTCGCCTCTTTGTCCTCAAATCCACAGATAATCGGCGGTCTGTTGTGGTACGTCTCTCGTTACCCTCAAGAAGGGGGTTTTAACCCCATCACAATCGCGGATTATTGGTCACAGTCAACGTCGCTTTCGCGAGGCACTTGTCGAGGCACGTCGCGGCTTCTCAACCGTAGTTTAGGGTTCAAGGTTGGCGATCCTCCATGCAAACGCACTGGGCTCTTGTGACTACGGAGCTTTCATTAGTCATTATGATCATACATAAAACTGGTCCAAAAAAGACACCACATCGTAGATCGAAATCATTGCATTGCCCAAAAAACATTATTCGGTCGATGTTCACGCACGTTCTTTATACACCACTTGTAGTCCTGGTGAGTGATATACATACAAACGCACACACACAAACAAACACATAAAAACACGAAGAGCATGTCAACCTGTTTGCCAACCGCTTCCTCGATTTTTTCAGGACCAAGTCCAAAAGGTAGCTTCGATGACTGTTGTTGGGTTGATGCACAATGATCGAGTTTCGAACGAACAAATGTGTTGTAATAGATTATAAAATACAGTTGTGGTATTTTGAGGCTTCCAGCTTAGCACATGATAAGACACGGAGGTCAGTGCTAGTTCGCAAAACATCAAAGAAATAACTGGACGGGATACATCTTCAAAATTCTTGGATAACTGCTTAGAGCAAAACTAATAAGTACGCTTTTGAGCTTTGGAATATAATCCTATGGGTCAATGTGTACCGAAAAAAACGTAAGATCGTATGTACTATAGGTAATAGTCTACTATGTCTTCAGGAGGATACCGCACCAACGTTTGTAGTTTTTGAAATGCGATCAGTGTGGATTCGTATTATCCAACGATGGTCTAATAGCACCTAAGTTAAGTTCAGTTCCTTCAACTATCAACTTCGCACTTCTGTGCTCTAGTTTTGGTTGTTATCTCGCAGCATCGTCGAATCGAGGGCAAAAAAATTGGGAGCATAAAATAATAAACAGCCGAAGACGGAGCAACAAGTGAAGTTTACGATGATAAAGAAAGAGCATGAATCAAGCTACATCACTAGCCGCAACTCCTTGGCACCCACTGTCTCCTGAAATTTGACAGGCGGGTCTCGTGGACCACAACCCGGAAGTCTAACACGTCCTACTTGGCCAAGTCCACTGATCAAGGTTTTCATATCTTTCTCCGATTCCATGCACTGACCACCTTGACCTACCTTCGAACCACAACCTGCCTCGGAGAACAGCGTACGCCGAGGAAATCTATCGGCGGGCGTGCGTAACAAATGTCGCAGCCACCTCAACCCGCTTAGATTCAGTACTTGTTCCACTGGATGACCACAGGTTCCAAACACTACGCCTAACCTCAGCATAGCTGATACGGCGTTCTCATCATTTCAATATAACAAACATTCTTTTTGCTTCCTTTTTATGTGTAATACAACACTGTACAATAATTCGATCAATGATACGGAGGTATCGATGCTCAAACACCGACAACCTTCACCTTTCTTCAACCCTTAATGGCCAAATTTCTGAGTCGCATTAAGAGACAGATCTCAGTGGGGCAGTGTAAACTCGACACATAATAGATAACTGGATATCATGCCGACGCGTCAGACGACTGAGGTTAGTAACTGTGCCTTCTGTATACAGAACGACACCTTATCCGGAATATCCGACTGCCTGGAGAGATATTTCAGCTCGGGCTTCCCCTACCAGACCAAGGTTTGGTGTGGGGTCGACCCAGCCCTGCAGTAACACATAACACTTAGAAAGTGTAAAATGCATCTACCTGGGAAACATATCGTCGGTTATCGTCTAGAGAAAACTGCGGGACGCGTGGCTTTGGCGTTGGCGTGACCACACACAAGACAGAATCGAGCACGTATCAAGACGTGATTTCAGTACACAATTGTAGACAAAAATGAACGACAATCTTCAGTTGAACCATGCCAGCGGTGACCAATGACAATACAATCAATCTGAATCCAATGTTGTGAAGACGTAGGAGGATGCTATGTGAGTCTATGCAGCTTTTGGTGACAGAGTTTCTCACTCGCCAGAATCAGTCTGTGGTCAGAGCATCGTTGGATGAGACGACCATCGTTGTCAATGAAATTGGGCCTCCGAAATGCATTTTGGGTGCTAAAATCCCTAGCACCGACCACCACGTCTGTTGAACGCATGCTTCGAAGCTGATGAGACAAATAACGAAGAAAACCTATCCTTGGTTTCACAAGAATTGCAGTCAGACACGACAAACAAGCACCGACGTTTTAGTCTGTTGCAGCCGACACGTACAGAACCGTCCAACCAAACTGCACACAAACGACTGCCAACCGGAATCCAGTCTAGTAGCGCACGCTCAGATCTCGTGCTCAAAATGATCCCGACGCCAGTCTGACCACCATCACTAGATACCGGATCACCTGGCATCCGAAGAGGATAACGAGAGAATGAGGTTGTATTTATTGGGTGAAGTGCAACCGTAGAAGTAGGGTCTTGTGTGCGCCCTTCGAAGACACAGCTTACATCTATTTTGAAGGTTTCAGGAATTCCTGCCAGAACAGTCTATTGCCCCATCTGATTTAGTGTACGAACGCTGAAGGAAGTCGGGTGAAATCAACAAGTGGGTTTAAGAAATGCGTTTGATTCACGGTCAACTCCTGAACTACTGCTTTCTTCAGAGTCGCAATAACCCTTGGAGTTCCGCATTCACCCTAAATCAGGGTAGGAAAAATTATTAAGACCCCTTACAAGAAGGATGCTGAAGGTTTCTGGGTGAACTGTACTTCGCGGCTGCCCATATCACAGAAGGGGCTTCACTTTTCGAACGCTAATCGGAGTCCTTGACTCGAAAGTCTCACCTGCAAGCCAGTGGGGCATTAATCCAGCACGGGAACGTGACCGAAGAACCCGTGAAAGAACTTCTTTCGGTCTGTCACGTGAGACCTGATTGCTGTACGCATTTTGTCTTATCGTCGCCAGTGCTCTGCTATCGATCCTCTTTTGGGATTCAGTCCTTAGCCCCTGTACCCAATAGAGTAAGCGGAACGTGGACAGGGCAGCAACCTTTGGGTCAGGGGCCGCCCAGTGAAGTGTAATGACTTCTCTTACCGCTGAGAGGAACCCCAAGTACTCCAATCCTACTTCCACCTAGAGGAAGTTTTTAGACCGGCAAACTGTTGCTCTCCGTTTATTCGTTGGAGTGTCCTCTCCAAAGGCATGATGGATAGAATCAGATGTGGTCCAGCAACCGGTTCAGAGACTGGACTTCGTCTGGGCTCTACCCACTGACCTGTCAGATATAATTGTATCTCCAGCTTAAGGAAGTCGTTCTGCGTGGCTCTTTGCGTCACGGAGGAACACAAGCCATCACACCACACCAGGGTGACGTCTCGTCGCGTTGGGGTCGAATAACAACAATGAACTCATCCGGAACTTCATCAGAGGCCAATTTGCACTGAAAGGCGCATGCAAGAAGCAGGCTTACATTTCAGCAACAAAGAAGGTTCTCTGACTGTGATACAAGGAGACTAAATGAATGTTACGTATGTATTTAAAAAATGCAATACGATATGGTTCACAGGTGATTTGCAACAGTGACAGGACGAGACAATATCAGTTGTGAACATAACCGAGAATGCGAGAAATCGAGTTGAAAATGGGATAGCTGTCTCATTTGATTTCCAAAGGATATTTAACGCTATGTGCTACGTGACGCAGTTTTTCAAAAAATTCAAAGAAATTGTCACGGCTAGCACCCCGAAAAATGTAAGTATTCTCTTGCACCCTTTCTTTCTATCTGACATTGTGATTTTATCTTCCATTAATGGCGTTAACTTTTGTCTCTCTTTCCTTATTCGATCGATATGAACACTGGCTATTCTCAAACCAAAATGTGAAGGGAACTTTGTAAATGAAGAAGGTTCATATTTGTACTTCTTAATTAACAGTTCAAAGCTAGCTATAAGGAACGAATTGCGACATAATTTCAGCACTGGATCCGTAACTTTGAATTTGGAGATTTTACTTCACAGAGTGGTTGTTACGAACCGAAAAAAATTCGTAAAATTCCGGCGGCAACATTTTGCCACATATTCTGAATTTTTACTCAGGTATTAGTTGATGCTTGGGTGTAAGAGTGACCAAATATATGGTTTTACAACGTTTTGTTGCTTTTATCCTCTAATATTTGCTTCGTCACCAAAACTGCTGTACACCCACGTGCTTATGTGATCGATAATGCTTGCATACACGTATAAGTGTGCATATGCGTATGCACGTATGTTCGTGCAAGCGTACGTATGAAAAGTAGTATCACAAAAAGAATAGTCAAACAGAATAATAGCACAATAAACAAAGTGTGATTTACTGCTTAAAAGAACATCAAGAGACCTAAGTTCACTTGAAGTGTTTGTATTGGTAGTTGCGCCACGTCATCAGACTATCGTTACAAAAGTCGGTGTAAAAAAGTTCACTCGCGAATACCAGACTGCTGGTTGGCAGTAAACGTGGGAAGCTTTATAGTACCAGTAAATGATTAAGGAAAATAAGATATGGGCAATTCGTGGGGGATTCCCAAAAACGGTTACGAAAATATCTTACTCATAAACTGAGAAAAATGCCACGCGGAAGAATATCTGGCGTTTATAAATCAATTTTTTCCCCAGTACACACCAATCGATCATTGTGCTGGTCAAATGGAATCACAAACTACTTGATGCGTTTTTTTTTTAATTTCAAAACCATCAAGATATTTCTGTAACAGATCATAAAAAGCTGACGTACTTTACTGTCCGCGACCGCAGCAAGTCCCAATTCTTCGATTATTTCATTCACTTTTTGTTTCCGTTCTGCTTTCGAGCATTTCAACGTCATACGCAGCGCAGCCGAAAAATATAAATTCTCCCGGACAGTGAGGGTTCCCATGACAATGTCATCCTAAAATCATTGGAATATTCAAAAGGCATTGGAAAGAAACTCAGCATGCAAAGGATGATCATATGTTTCAATGACAGTTGACAGGTACACCGAGCGAGCTTTCAAAATATGTATTCAAACACACAGCAGAGGCCCAAGAGACTGGACCAACTTCTATACAATCATCGATCGGGGCTAGAAATAGGAATGATATCTTTGACTCGGTTTTAGTGATACTTTTTTACTACCTAGACTGAACGATGAGTCTATTCGAGAAAATTGCTCTGATTTTTTGTGGAACAGGAGCGTGTATCCGTGGGTGGTACGTCACTAGTGGACCGTTTTACTCCGTTTTGCATACTTGTCAGGAAGAATTTCAATATCGGTACCAATTAGAACTCTGGATGTGAGGATGAGCTGTAAGGCTTTGGTCATCATTCTGCTGCTAGTAAACACGCGAGGAAAGGTCCTGTCGGGCGAAACTAATTCTGGGTCATACATAACTGCGTCGTTCAATCACACCTTCGACTGCCCACATGAAGATGACTACCTTTTGATAATAATAATGATAATAATCTAATTCTTCTTTGCATCAAAAACCTGTTACAGTAGTTCGGAAAGGCTGTAGAGGAAATTAGAGGCTGCCAGACGGAACAGTAACCGGCGGCGACAAGATTTGCACGCAAGATAGAGCGGAATAAAGTTGACCACGATTACCGCCAGACCACCGCCTTTTAGTTGATAAAACATGGTACAATGGAGGGCTTATAATGGAGGTGGTTAATCCCGGACAATTACTTCAAGTTATAACGAATGATAGAATTCACACGTGTTTCAAACACGTCAATCGTGCATACGAATAAAGGAACTTACTTGGACTACGTAACCGGATACACATTTGAAATTCTTCGGCTGCGGTGCTCCGTCTACCAGAACCTGACCGGAAAGAAACCGGGGGTCTTTTCGTCCTGCTAAGACGTCAAGTAAACTTAAAGGAAGATTTATGAGAAGTGCACTGATGTAAAAATGGATTCAAAGAATACGCTGAAAAATTTGTTTTCGAATGCAACAATTAGGGAGTGGGAAGCGTCTTCTTATTTGATCTCTTAATGTACACTATGATTCCCGCTAATTTGACTAGTGGCTTGAACATATACAGGTAAAATCGATCGTGATGCATTGCAAATTTTTATCACCACATAGCACGAGTTTCGTGATTTAACTGAAGCACCTCTCTGCACCAGTGAATAACATCATTTTACTGAAACTTTATTTTAATTAAAGTTGATTCTATGCACCGCTATGGATAGCTGAATGTGTGTGACCTTGGTTTCCAGGGTAGACTGTTCTGAACAATATAATCTAGGAAGTATCTGGGTACGGAGATATTATTAAATTACTAAATACGTCCTATGTTAGTATCCTGAGTTATATTTAGAAAGGCTTCTCATGTAAAAAAACTCAGCAGTAGGTTTTTGATCCAAGTGCCTGTAAGATGTCGAAAGAGATTATTTCATAATTGGGAGAATTCACGTTATATATGATCCAAAATGTCTTTTGACGATGACTGTCAAACCTACCGAAAAAAAGGATTGCAGTTTGCATCAGTGTAAGCGTTGGCACTATTGTCAGTTAGGCACGCTGCGTTAACTACTTAAATTTTTATCGCGACAGCGACGAAAAGATCCACTAACACTGAATTTTCTTGGCACCTCCATGAAGTGGACCAAAGCAGAATTGTAAAGGCCTACAAGCTTGAATCATTTGTGACGGATTTTGTTCAATGTTTTACCGAGAACAGGAGCACCAATCATCGAATAAAGTACTAAAAAACTCCCACAAATACACAGCTTGGAGGTAAGAATTCTAAAATATCGAATAAATGAGACTGCTGCACGCGCGATACGCCCCAAAACAGCCGAAAATCTCGGTCCCTTATACAGTGCGAAAATATTCTCAGGCAATTTTGATTCCCCCTAGTATCACGTGATATGAAGGCTGCATTGCATGTCCAACAAAAGGAGGCGCGTATTGATTTCATCAGGGGATTCAAGTCACGGGGCCTGTCATTTTGACGATGAGCTGTTTCTCATGTGAATGTTTGGTATACGATGAGCAGTAGAAGGGTCAGAAAAAACATTCGCAGTAATAAATTCAACCGAAGATGTATCCCTCCAAATACAAAGTTATGGCACCAACCGATATTGTTTATTTGGATGGGAATAAAACATATTTAGAGCTGTAATCTCATTTGAATCCAATGGAGCGTGCATGGATGGGAAGTCCATTTTCAGAGTCGCACGGTGATTCTTTCAAAGTTGATTCGTCGGTTAACACGGCTAATCTTCAGAACGAGGACACCAGGTACGCACACCTGATGAGCGGAAGAAACCGCGAAACCGGTCGTGTGCTTCCGGGGGAATTTTGTCCAGTCATTCAGACACAATGCCATACTACTCATATCGAAAAAGCATATTTAGCTTTGTTTGTTGACTTCGATCAAAGGCATCTCGAACAGTGGGAAAGTCGTACTGTTATGACCGATAAATTCCTCGAATTCAGTGAAAATATACTATCTGGATAGGTCACAATTGCTCAGGATAACGCTCCATGTCATGTTTCACGAGAGGTTTGTGAATATAGCCATGGAAAACCATTTATCTGCCAATTATTTAATTCGTTAATTGCGAAAATATGTAAAATCCCAATGCCCGGTTCATACAGGTATCCCCCAGTAGCCCAAATTTAAACGGAATAGAAAACATGTTCTCTGTTCTGAAGAGAGAAGATAGTGAGCTACCAGAGCACTGGCCATTGGAGTCAAGAATACAAAATGTGATGGAGAATCGGGGAGAAAATCATTCCGGAATCAACTTGGTGGACTCCATGACGAAGAAAGTGAACTAAGTTATGGGAAATGAAGGTAGACTCGATGAATAAAGTGTTGACTACTTCAATGTAAATAAATCTCGTTTCGTTTTGGCTGACCAACTCGTATTCCGTCATGGTTGTGGTCGACCGGTAGTGGCAAAAATAGGGTTTCGTCTGAATTTTGATCATTATTACTCGTCACACAAAAGCAGACAAAGGGGGTTATTGTTCTAGAGCCTAGCTACTACTTGCTAGTTATTGTAGATATGTCACTAGTTAGTTCTGCCGTAATCATGCCATGTACGAGCACAAGACGTGCAAATAAGCGCCTTTTTGCTTGAGTTTCGGGTAGAATTGTAGAAGCGAAACTAATGGTTAACTAGAGTAGCACAATACGCTGCTTTGTTTTACAGGACCATGACGTTTACTGTTTTTATAAGCTTGACGTGAAATGTGTTAAAATTCACAGTCAGATAAAAGTAGTTCTGCAATACCGAAACACAGAGTACTTAGACTTGCCTCATAGATATTGTACGAGATCCCTGATCCGAGAATCCGATTGTACGGTTGGATTTACAAGCCTGACAGTTACGATTAGATCAAATAACGATCGTTACTAAATTAAGTCGATCAATTGCTTGCCCAAGTGAAGATTGACCAGTTGCAGGAGCTGTGTGCTGGATGCGAGAATTTCCCAGAATTATTGGACAACCAGTTGACAATCCTTGAAGTATTTACTTTGCTCTATTTGCCGTATTTGAGAGAACGTGTAAGATTAGGTTGGCTAGTTTGTGTTGACATAAATTAAACTGACGAGGTCCAAATCGGCGGTGTAATGATAAATGCGTTGATAATTTCTGTCTGTCTTTAAATAGAGCACTGTTGGTAAATCTCGACGAAAGCGAAAAAGCACACCTCTAATGATATTTATCAGAGGTGAGCAGAGCGTTCGAATTTAACGGTAAATGAAGTTTATCAATATGAATTTACAATACTTTAGATACTTTAATAATTAAAAAGCCAAGATGTAACTGAATAACTTATGATGCAGTCAACAGAAAGTAAAACTCACGAAGATTTTCCGCTGCCGGTTGGGCCCATGATTGCGTTCACTCCCGGTCGCAAGATGCCGCTGAAAGGGCGAATCACATAAACCTGATTGGTCTTTGGTAGTCCCATTTTACATAAATTCTACCTTGGAGGAGAAAATATGAGAACACGTGTTGCTATCGCGCATACGAAATCGACGGATTCCGTTAAGATTTGAGTCAAAACATCCTACTTCTCGTTTTATTTCACAACCCGGTAGTACACATAGTACTTGGGTGTTTACTCGATCCCTAGATGTAAACCTGACCTAGGCAGAACCATTCCATATGCAACCACTGCAGAACAGTCGAGGCAAGCTCCGAGGAAAAACAAAACAAAACAACTGCGGTAGAATAGGAACGAGGAGGCAACTGTCCGGTGGTGGGTAAGCGACTGCTAATTGGATGTTGGAGCTGGCTTATCTAACGAACGAACGGCATTATGTTGAACCCGGCAGAGAACAGATAAAGAAGATGAACACGAAGCTCTAGCCCACATGTGACTTCAGTATTCAAGTGCGGAGCAATATTGAGTCTTGCAAAGTGAGACGAGCTGGGCAGGTTGAAGAAACGGTTGGCGCGGAACAGAAATCTAATCTTGCTCGCAGAACGACAAGAAAGTGAACATACGTACGAAGAACAAGAGGAAGAGGAGACTATCGAAAGACCCAATGGATGTATCAAATAGTCTGACAACAGGGAACCGAATCAAAATTTGAGCGGGAAGAAAAGCAATGGTTTTTGAGAGAGATCGAGTGATATTTTAAAGGCATAGAAGAGAGCACGATTTTCGGAGCCCAAATGAAAGCTGATCGTTACAACGTGTTGCCCAACACTTACGTTGTTTAACCGATATTTTTGCTAATCCGTTGAATACTGCTTGCCGGTAGCCCATCACGAAACGTTAATACCTGATGAACCTGAACACAGGGATAGGAACCACGTCATCGTCAACCACTTGGATGGCAATTAGCTTTACTGTCACCCAGGACAAACCACTTCAACCTCACTTTTTGACCATCAAAGAATCCAGGGTTAATGATGACAACTGTTTTGAACTGTATAGCCCATTGTTTTTCTCGCGAGTTTCCCTTGTCAACTACTCACGTGTAACTATCCTAATTCTCGGATATATTATAGAGCTCTACTTCTACATCCTTATTTTTATTGTGATGCTTAGGTAGGCACTCATGCATGAAGGTTACATGAATCCCCAAGTATTCGACCAAGAACTTTGCATCATCGTCGCCATCAACAGAATATTACTGCTGTCTTAAGTTTTTGGGGTACTGAGTTAGAAACTTACAATTACAAATTAATTTTAATTTCGAAATCCGAAAATCAGCAACATCTCGCTCAATAAAATACCACATTACTCTTGTGTACTACCAAAACAAAACAAGAAAAGGCGAATATCGATATTATTTTGTAGGTATCGTCATCAGCATTCTACAGCGAGATCTAGTGAAGTCGATCGCTGCCTTGCTGAAAAACTGTACAAACAAAGGATGTTTGTTAAAATAGTATGATATCTAACATGGAACCAAACGACTAGATTACCTTCGCTTTATTGTAACTTTGAGGGATACCGAGAGACGAACTGATCTAAGCTCGAGAGTCTCATTGTGCTAAAAATTCCGACGCAACTGTTCGATCTACCTAGCCGAGTATGCCGGGAATATCAAAAGAGAAGGCCTAAAACATGCGATCACGCGTATTGAGGTACACTATATGATTGCAAAGGTAAGAACGTGAACATAAAATAAAGGAGGGGGCATAGTATAACAAGGTGCGATTGTCGATAAAGGTCATAACGTCACGGTAAGTACCGAACAAGGCCGATTGTCATACGGGGTAGTAGTGTCACTGTAGATGAAAATAATATGGGAGATATCCGTCCAGGATTGGAATGTTGCAGGTGCGGAACACGGCGGATTTTACAAGCAGGCGCGTTACCGTGAAAAACTCAGACAGCATTGGTATAAAATTAATGAGACCAGTTTGATGCTCAGATTTCTTTCCTCACAACCTCACAGTTGGAGTGGGCGTGACTACTCAACTTCAGTGAAATATCAGGTAGGCACCATATGTCGTGTTAAGCTAATGGAACCTCGAACACAAGCACGAAACATAGGCATCAACCACTTTTATCTGAAAACCACGTTTCTCGGTTTTACTATGACACCGGTGTTGTCTTCAATTGTGAATTCGGCTGTCTGTACCGATATTTAAAGATCGTATCTGTTGGAAAATAAAAAGACTATGAAAATCACGTTTACCCATAGTTCTTAACCGAGCAAAAGGTCCATGGGAAGACGTTGCTTGATCACTGAGTTCGACGTTTAGGTCACCAACGTTTCATTAGCAGTCGAAGTGGCATTTTGCATACGGATGATATTATCTGAACTAGTGACGAAAAGTTTGTAAATTAAAACCAGTATGAAAACCATAAACCTGAGCTACGATCAACACCAGATTTGATTGAGATGCTTCATCCATAATATACCGCTAAAAATGCTTTGGTATGAAATAAAAGTACTGCTTTCCATACTTGGTTTCAGTTTTTTGAAGACTCATTGAGTGGTTTCTAGTTCTTAATAGCTCACTAGTTTCCGAGCTAGAATTCATGTACAGTCGTAAATCGTGTAAGTTTTCAAAGGCACAAGATGTTTCGGCATTGAGGATGGCTCCACTGAAAACCAAAGAATGATGATCAGGTTGTTTGACAAGCCATGTTGCACAGTTCGGCTGACGAACAGCTTACAACACTGGCATAACCCAACGGAAAAAACATGAATGACTGGTTCTGGCCTCTGGAATGGATAGCACGACGATACTGCTAAAATTTACTCGGCACGGAAGAAAGCGAAATTACGGCTATCAAACTCTGTTGCATGCTGCACACATATTCACCACAAGTTTTCCTCATCATAGATTACAATCTTAATTCAAAATGTGCTTAGTAAATCGGAGAAACAACTGTGATCAGTCAGACATTTTCAGCATCAAGATAGTGTGTTCATAAGAAGCCCAACTGCACATACTAATTCAAGTAAGAGTATCTGGCCACCTACATTGAAAGAATGAGAAGGCAACTACGTCATCGAATGACTGAGCATATTCCAGCGTGGTTTCGGAAGACAATAAACAACAATTGCGACGCAAAGGTATCATCAACCGAACAAGCGTCAACCGAGTCATCAAAGGCTCGACATCATTATGAGATCAAGCACTGCGACCAGAAACACGACATCACCAAGTCACATGGAAGCTTCATCGATCCGTACACGCTACCCTGAACTATGCAAATAACGCGAACTAGCGATCAACTAATCACCATCGTCAGAAACGACTGATAACTGTTGTGTGACATGTCGATAGAGATCTGCGTGCATGTGAGTTTTCCGTTCTTTCGAAACATTCCCTTCATCCGTATTCGATAAAACAAGCTATTGTCGGAATTCGAATGAAAGTGTAGTCTATGTAATTAATACATTCTCGACACGAAACGGCTCAACCTGATAAAAACGTCTTATTTCTATTTGAAGAAAGTGCACCAACTTCTTTCGCCAAAATTTAAGAAACTCTCCATCACAATTAAATCAATGCTGTAACTGAATCCTTGAACTTTACACATTTTTAGCTAGTTTGAAAGTATATAACAAATAAACGGATATTTGCACAGCAATGAGATTAACATCTCCATAGGATGCAGGACATGACACATTACCTGGCAGCAAAGTAGTCCTCCTAGAAGAACTTACAAACTGACAGACTAGAAAAGTGTATTGCTTCTGCCCGTTGAATTCTTTATTGTTCATTGTGTTGTAGATATTACTCCTACATCTTGGATGGTCAAGATTTATCCCACCTCATGTCAATCGGCGTAATCAATTACACAATTTAAAAGTCACCAGAATAAGTTTCTTTTCAAGTTTCGTACCACGTTTTTATGAGAAAAAGCCTACAAAATACGTTATCATGATTACAGCGCTCTCTCGTTTACTAGCATTGTGAAAATTTCCTTTCATGAGGGAGAATTTCTCTATCATCGTGAAAACAAACGATACATTCGACGGACCACATTCATTGGACATTCATTTCAAAGACATGTATTCCAAAAACAAATTCCTCACCTTTCTTCTCATGAGCCTACCACTAACCGCGAAATTGCTAATAAACCATTGGGTGGTACAGTTTTGTCTGAATGATTTCATTACTTTTGCTTCCTTCTGCCAAGCTGAGATATTTGCACAATGGAGATTGCTCCTGGCAGGATCAGTATTCAGGCCACCCTAATGAAAACCACAAACGATGAATTCTACTTCCTTGAGTTTATGAATTCTTCATATTCAACCGTTCATTAAGTGTCGTCTGTTAAGCATCAGTCAAACTGATCGTGTTAACCACAGCCACGCAGTTTCAACTTCACATAAATTATAGAGCTAACTTGAACAATATCACGTTGTGAACAATTTTATATTCCCAACCTTTGCTCGGTATTATATGAAAAAGATTGGAAAGAGAAAGTTCATAACGAAGAAAATACTTTTTCAATCAAACTTCGACAGTATACACGTGGGGTGTATGGGGCATTTGAGAGGAGTAGAACCTCTGAGTTGGTAAACTGTCGTGCTCCTTAGGGTATCTTTCGTTTTCGAGCCTTACCCTGGAATGTATCGGTTGTTTCGGTCTATGCCCCGACAGTTGCAGCTGAAGAATCGACAAAGAATGAGTTCTACGATAGGCTACAAGAGGAAATAAACAGCGTCCCGAAACGCGACATTCTCCTGGTTGCGGAAGACTGGAACGCCCGCATCGGTCCCTCCACCCAAGCAACTAGACACATTTTGGGGAAACATGGTCTCGGACAGCAGTGCAGCAATGGTTAACGCCTCGTCAACTTTGCAGACTTTACCAGCCTAACCGTCACCAATACCCGCTTCCAACATCCCTAGAAGCACTTGCTAACATGGTACTCCAACGACGTCCACACAACGCATCAGTTCGACTACATTCTCGTGCGATCCCGCTGGTCATCTTC